ATTTATTAGCATAAGAGTGTCTAGGATGAGGCCGGGCGCGGTGGCTCAAGCCTGTAATCCCAGCACTTTGGGAGGCCGAGGCGGGCGGATCACAAGGTCAGGAGATCGAGACCACAGTGAAACCCCGTCTCTACTAAAAATACAAAAAATTAGCCGGGCGCGGTGGCGGGTGCCTGTAGTCCCAGCTACTCAGGAGGCTGAGGCAGGAGAATGGCGGGAACCCGGGAGGCGGAGCTTGCAGTGAGCCGAGATCGCGCCACTGCACTCCAGCCTGGGCAACAGCGTGAGACTCCGTCTCAAAAAAAAAAAAAAAAAGAGTGTCTAGGATGTAGATATGTACACGTGGCTTTTCTTTACAATGTTATTTTATTTTAGAGATGGGGTCACACTGTGTTGTCCAGGCTGGTCTCAAACTTTTGGGCTCAAGTGATACTCCCACCTTGGCCTCTCAAAGTGCTAGGATTCCAGGCAGGAGTCACTGTGCCTGACCCTTAATTTTTTGAAGAATAAATTTTTATTTAATATAATCTCTAATTTATAGAAGAGTTGTAAGACTAGTTCAAGGAACTCCTGAATGTCTTTTAAAACACATTCCCTATTTGGTTCATATTTTGTCCTCTTTCCTTTAACAATCTCCCTGACTGATACATATATATATTATTTTTCTGAATTATTTAAGGGTCAATTGGTGACATTGTGCCTTTTTTGTTTTTGTTTTTGTTTTTCTTCGAGACAGGGTCTTGCTCTGTCGCCCAGGCTGTAGTGCAGTGGCAGGATCATGGCTCAGTTGTAGCCTTGATCTTCCAGGCTCAAGGGATCCTCCCACCTTAGTCTCCCGAGTAGCTGGGACTACAGGCACAGGCTACCATGCCTGGCTAATTTTTTTGATCTTTAGTAAAGATGGGCAACACTTTGTTGCCCAGGCTGCTTTTGAACTTAACTCAAAGGGTCCTCCTGCCTTGGCCTCTCAAAGTTCTGGAATTAGAGGCATGAGTCACCATGCCCAGCTGCCTCTTCTAAATAATTCAGTGTTCATTTCCTAAGAGCAAGGACACTCTCTTATCTATGTGTTGTTGCTTTAGGTGATGAAACAAATGGTCTGTAATCACAGAATTTGTATCCCCTTAATGAATATTCCTCACCTTCATGATTATAATAATTATGATCTGCTAAAATACAATTTTAAGTAAACACTGCAAGGTGACCACACAGTAGGTGCTCAGTTAGTTTGATCACACAGCTGACTCACTCTGTGTAATCCCTTCCTTCTCTGGGCCTCAGTCTCATCTGAAATGGGCCCCCAGTTCTCCTTGCCTCACATCCTCATGGGTGGCAGCGAGGCTTAGATGAGATGGTGAATTTGATCAATGCACTTTAAAAACTGTAAAGAAAGGCTGGATGGCAGTGGCCTGTAATCCCATCACTTTGGGAGATAAAGGCAGGTGGATCATGAGGTCAGGAGTTCCAGACCAGCCTGGCCAACATGATGAAAACCTGTCTCTAGTTAAAAACAAAAAACAAACAAAAACACACATGAAAATTAGCCAGGTGTGGTGGCACATGCCTGTAATCCCAGCTACTCAGGAGGCTGAGGCAGGAGAATTGCTTGAACCTGGGAGGCGGAAGTTGCAGTGAGCTGAGATAACACCACTGCAGTCCAGCCTGGGTGGCAGACTCTGTATCAAAAAAAAAATTAAAAAATTGTAAAGAAGTTCTGTGCCCTGGGGAGATATCAGGCCATTTTTCTACCCATTCTCCCAACATTGGTGCTTCTTCCCAAATGACTGAGACCACCTGCTCACCCAACCTTCTACTTTTTCTTCCTGGGTTTAGGTGGTCCAAGAAAATCCAGCCCTTTGGCTGGGCGCGGTGGCTCACGCCTGTAATCCCAGCACTTTGGGAGGCCGAGACGGGCGGATCACGAGGTCAGGAGATCAAGACCATCCTGGCTAGCACAATGAAACCCCGTCTCTACTAAAAAATACAAAAAAATTAGCCGGGCGAGGTGGCGGGCGCCTGTAGTCCCAGCTGCTCGGGAGGCTGAGGCAGGAGAATGGCGTGAACCTGGGAGGCGGAGCTTGCAGTGAGCTGAGATCCGGCCACTGTACTCCAGCCTGGGCGACAGAGCGAGACTCCGTCTCAAAAAAAAAAAAAAAAAAAAAAAAAAAAGAAAATCCAGCCCTTTGGCATCTGAACCAGGCCTCCCCGGGGTTCCTGGTGGTGGCACAGGCATCCTCTGCCAGAATTCAGGACACAGAGTTTAGCTGTGGGTTCCTAGGTTAGGGTTCAGACACAAAGGCCCAGGAACCCTCCCCATAGACCTTTTTTTAATTTTTAATTTTAATTTTAATTTTAATTTTTTTGAAATGGAGTCTTGCTCTGTTGCCCAGGCTGGAGTGCAGTGGAGTGATTCGGCTCACTGCAACCTCTGCATCCCAGGTTCAAGCTATTCTCCTGCCTCAGCCTCCCAAGTAGCTGAGATTACAGGCGCCCGCCACTAGGCCCTGCTAATTTTTTGTATTTTTAGTAGAGATGGGGTTTCACCATGTTGGCCAGGCTGGTCTCGAACTCCTGACGTTGTGATTCGCCTGCCTCAGCCTCCTGAAGTGCTGGGATTACAGGCGTGAGCCACCATGCCCAGCTTCAGACCTGTTTATGTATGATGTTTTCTTTCCCATAATGATATGCCCCAGGCTGGGCGTGGTGGCTCACGCCTGTAATCCCAGCACTTCGGGAGGCTGAGGCAGGCGAATCACAAGGTCAGGAGTTCAAGACCAGCCTGGCCAACATGGTGAAACCCCGTCTCTACTAAAAATACAAAAAGTGGCCGGGCGCGGTGGCTCAAGCCTGTAATCCCAGCACTTTGGGAGGCCGAGACGGGCGGATCACAAGGTCAGGAGATCGAGACCATCCTGGCGAACCCGGTGAAACCCCGTCTCTACTAAAAAAAATACAAAAAACTAGCCGGGCGAGGTGGCGGGCGCCCGTAGTCCCAGCTACTCGGGAGGCTGAGGCAGGAGAATGGCGTGAACCCGGGAGGCGGAGCTTGCAGTGAGCTGAGATCCGGCCACTGCACTCCAGCCTGGGTGACAGAGCAAGACCCTGTCTCAAAAAAAAAAAAAAAAAAATACAAAAAGTTAGCCAGGCGTAGTGGCGGGCACCTGTAATCCAAGCTACTTGGGAGGCTGAGGCAGGAGATTGAACCCGGGAGGCAGAGGTTTCAGTGAGTGGAGATCGTGCCATTTCACCATTGCACTCCAGCCTGGGTGATAGATCAAGACTCTGTCTCAAAAAAAAAAAAAAAAGATATGCCCCAGATGGTGGAGGCAAGCTACAGGCCCTCTCTCCAGAGACCCCGTTCTTCCTGCACCAATGGACTGGACACCAATTTGTATGTTTGTGCCAGAAAGCCAAGGAGTCCTGCTGTTCATTCACAAGAGGCCCTGCTGGGCGCCAGGCAGGGCGCTGAACTGAGCCCATTTCTCTCTGGTATCTCCCTAGCCTCTCCCCAAGCTCTTAGGTAGAATGAGATCCAGTAAGTATAGACACTTTTGCAGCATCCAAAGAATTAACCCTTCACTCATTTACTCACCTGGTAAGAGATACAGGGAGAAAGCTGTGGAGTAAGGCAGCCAGAGCCCAGAAGGCAGGAAACCCATGCCCATTCATTCAACAAACTTGTATTGAGCTCCTTTCTAATGCATCCCCCATCCACTATAGCACACAGATGTGGTTTCTGCTCCCATGGTGTCTCTGTGTGTGTGTGTGTGTGTGTGTGTGTGTGTGTGTGTGTGTGTGTAGGGGGATGTAAACAGGAAAACAGATATGTAAAACAATTTCAGATCGCGGTAAGTGCTAGGAACAGAATGAAATAGGATAGGAGTGATGGACAGGGAAGACTTCATGTGGAGTAATCGGTAAAAGCCTCTCCAGAAAGTGACCTTGTGGGAGAAAACTGAGGGGTGAGAATCTGTTCCTGCAATGATCTGGGCAAGGAATGTCCAGTTGTAGGGAACAGTGAGGTCAAAGCTACCATCACAAGGAAACGCTTGGTGTATTGAGGAGCAGCAGAGAAGTTGGAGTGAAGACAGAGAGGGGTTAAGGTAGTAGATTCCTTGAAGGGTAGGCAGGGGAGGCTCCTATGGGGGCTTGTAGGCGATATAGATCATTCATTTGTTCATTCATTCATTCAACACATATTTATTGAGCATCTACTGAGATCCTGTCCTTAGTTTACTGCGTGAAGACAGACCACAAGAAGGTAAACAAGCAAATATGTAAGTCCCAGGTCAGATAAATTTTAGGAAGCGCTGTTTTCCAGTGGTTCAACGGTCATCTCAGGGCAGAGGTGGGGAGACCTGCTGAAGGCTGCTTCTCCCTTAGTCTGTCCATGCCTGCAGGGTCTGGAACCCAGGTAGCCAGAGACCCGCTGGTCTTCTTTCCCCTCCCCTGTCCTCCCCTCCCTTCAAGATGGCTGACAAAGGCCGGGCTGGGTGGAAGGAAGGGAGGAAGGGCGAGGCAGAGGGTCCAAAGCAGGATGACAGGCAGGGGCACCGCGGCGCCCCGGTGGCACTGCGGCTGGAGGTGGGGGTTAAAGCGGAGACTCTGGTGCTGTGTGACGAAGTGGGGGCCCTGCCCTCTCTGAGCCCCCGCCTCCAGGCCTGTGCGTGTCTCCGTTCGGGTTGAAGGGAGCCCGGGAAAAGAGGCTCCAGAAGGAGTCTGGTTTTGGACGTCTGACCCCACCCCTCCCGCTTAGGGTCCCCCAGGGTGATTTTACTGGCCCGGGGTTGGCGGGGGCAGGGGGCCAGGGGGCGGAGCCCGCAGAGAGGGGCGGAGGGGAGGCTCCGAGCGATTTCAAATTTCCCTCGTCCCCGCCCCCCGGTCCCCCCGCGCCCGGGCCGAGATCTGAGTGGCTGCGGCGGGGGCGCCCCTGGGCGGGGGCGGGGCGAGGGCCGGGCCGGGGCTACAAGGGGAGTCGGCACCGCCCCCTCCCCACCCACTCCCGCTGCCCCGTCCGGCCCGCGCCGCTTCCTCGCAACAGCCGCTCCCGGCTCCGCGGCCGCAGCCCGCGTGGACGCTCCGAGCGCCCCCCGACGGACAGGACCGGCTACCTGGCGGTCGGGCGAGCGGGCGGCCGCGCCCGGCCGGCAGCGCTGGGGTTAAGTGGCCCAAGTAAACCTAGCTCGGCGATCGGCGCCGGAGATTCGCGAGCCCAGCGCCCTGCACGGCCGCCCGCCGGCCTCCCGCCAGCTAGCCCCGACCCGCGGCTCCGCCGCCCAGCCGCGCCCGAGCCAGCCCTGCGGCAGGTGAGCGCCCCGGGGCCCCGGGGAGGCTCGGCAGCCGCCGGCTTCGAGGGCTGCTAGGGGAGGGGACGGCGGGGGGCTTCCTAAGCTGCCGGGGAGAGAACCTCTCCAGGACCTCCCGAGGAGGGGCTCCCGCCGGGCTGGGTTGGCGGGGTGAGGAAACGCCCACGGACCCTGCTTGGGGTGGAACGGGGTCCGCGGGTGGGACGCGGGGGACATACATCTGACGGGACCGGAGATACGAGAGGAAGGGACGCGTCTGCTGCCTCCAGGAGCCCGAAGAGGAGAGAAGCTTGCTTTCAGGGAGGGGACACGCTGGCTTCCCGGGGTCCAGACTCGAGGGGGAGGAGGTGTCCGTCGAGAGCATGAACAGGGGCTTTGCTCATGGGCAGGGGGTGTACTCACTTGGCCTCGGCCTTGGGATAAGTTAAGGAGCGGAGGAGGTGAGGAGGGGTTTCTGCCATGCAGGTGGGCGTCCGCCCCTTGCAACTGGGATGTGGGGCTTCAGGCGAGGCGCTGTCCCTTCCCCCGACCCCAACTTTAGGAAAGAGCTCGTGAGTGTGGGCTTAGACTCGGGCGGGCTGGGGTGTGCACGCGTGTAGGGGATGGAGGCAGAGGGCGACCTCCCGGAGTGCTCCCGAGCTGAACCACCAAGCGCGGGGCGCAGCGGGGCGCCCTCTCCCTGTGCACATCTGGCTCGGGAGGAGCCGGCCGGAGGGACTGCACCTCCCTGCCCCGGCCACGCCGCCTACCCTGGGGTCTTACATTCCATTCTTAGCCTATCTCCTGGGTGCGGCTGGCCCCACTTCCCAGACTCGCACACTGAGGCCACAAAACCTCTAGCACAAGCTCCTGGAAGATAAGCTTCCCGGCTCGTGGTTGCATGGGGAGGGGTTATTGAGCCCCACTTTACCGGGGAGCAAGTGGAAGCAGAGAAAGACCTAACAAGCTGTAAGACTGCGCTGCCCTTGGGCCCTGGCTCCCCGCTGGAGGATCTCACCTGTGGATGGAGTTCTGAGCCTAGTTCTTGCCAGCGCCTCCAGCCTTCCCTGCTCCCTTTTTCTCCCTGGTCTAGGAGAGAGGCTCGCTGGGCCCCCGTGTTTCCACCCTCCCCCGAAGCTGGGAAGTGTTTAAAGGGAATTAAGGACAGAGTATGAACTTTGAGCTGCCTCCTGAGTTCTGGATGCGGTGGGTTTTGGCGAATGGGGGGCAGTTTTTGGGAGACAGCTATTATCTCCTCTACCAGGCCTGCTGGGGCTTCTTGTTAACCCACTTTGGAAACGCCAGGTGCGGACTTGATTTTTCCAGAGTTGAGATGATGGTACTTAGTTTATAGGGTTGGTATACAGTAAGCACTCAATACATGTTTGCCATTGTTGGAATCACTAGCTAGCACACAGGCTAAGCAAGCTTCCTTCCCTAGGGAAGCATAAGTCTTAGTTCTTCAGCATGTGTTTAAACCCTGTCTCACCAAGTTCATTGCTCTCCGTCCCTTCATTATTACATCTGAATTAGCAACAGTCCTACTGATAGGGTTGTGTAAGGATGAAACCAGTCTTATGCGTGAATTAACCTTTTCAGCCCTTGATCTTCCTCAGATGTTTATGTGTAATAGCCTCTACCACATTGGGCCTGGGTAAAGACACAGTGGGATAGTGCCTGTGTAGGGTCAGCACATGATGAGTGTTGATGTCTGTACTTAATAACCAATAGCCTCTCGTTTTAGGGTGGCCATTCCTGAGATTTGGGGATGGAGAAAGGCACCCCTGCCAGCCTCTCCTTTTCCTGCCTTCACGAAGGTGGTCAGTTTCTTTCTCAACTCTGAAAGCTTTTCCCAATCATTGTCCACGATTAAGGAGTTGGCAGGAAGAACCGCCTTTGTTCCCTTTTGAAGGGAGTCTTGGTTTTGTTTTATGGGTTGGGGCCGTTTTTAAAGCCCTCCCGGCCAAGCATGGGGGCCTACTGCAAAGGTGTAATTGCAGAACTAAGTGAGATCCTTTACCTTTTGCCATTGGGGTGGAGAGTGCTGAGACAAAGGGACAAGGGCCGGGGCCAGTGGCATCCTGCTCTTAAAGTTGTAGACATAACCCCCACCCCTTGCAGAGGATGGGGGGAGGGGAAGACGGTATCTGGGAGCTGCAGGGGTCTAAGGGAGGAGCAAGGGAGGTGGGGTTGGGGAGGCTGCTTCCTTCCCTTCCTCCAGCCACGTGGGGCCTGTGATCCAGAGGCGCCTGTCCTCCCTCATTATTGCAGCCCCATGGACCTGCTTCCAGTGGGGGCTTGGGCGAGTTCTAAAGGGAAAACTTACCTTGGGATTCCTTTTCCTAGACCAAGTCATGCCAGCTGCCTCACCTCCAGACTCAGACGCCTTTTCCAGTTTCAGCTAAATGTGAAATTTTTCAGAAGTACAAGGTTGTGCTGTCTCCCCCAAGCACCAGTCCTTAGCTCAGGCACATACTACTAATTGAGTGGAGTTTTTTTCTTTTAAATCATGAATTTTCAGAATGATTTCCAGTTTCATGGTGGACCAGGACTGGTGAAGTGTGGATTTCATTTCATGTGCAGGCCACTCTCTTTGTAAACAGAGACTGAGCAGACATATCTCCCCTTTTGTTGGGGGGGCTCATATTCTCACTGGGACCCTTTTACAGGTGATAGAACTGAGGCTCTGGAAGATACAGGAAGATTACATCTTGGTGGTGAGCATTTCCTTTCTCTCTTTTTATTTTTGAGCCAGTCTCACGTTGCCACCTAGGCTGGAGTGCGGTGTTATGATCTTGGCCCACTGCAACCTCCGCCTCCCGGGTTCAAGCCATTCTCCTGCCTCAATCTTCCGAGTAGCTGGAATTACAGGCGCACACCACCACGCCTGGCTAGTTTTTGTATTTTCAGTTGAAATGGGGTTTCATCATGTAGGCAAGGCTGGTCTCAAACTCCTGACCTCAAGTGATTCACCCTTTTCGGCTTCCCAAAATGTTGGGATTACAGGTGTGAGCTGTTACACCCGGCTACTTTTTATTTATTTACTTATTTACATTTTTTAATTTTTTTTTTTTTTTTGATACGAGCCTTACTCTGTCGCCCAGACTGGAGTGCAGTGGCACGAACTCCACTCACTGCAAGCTCCACCCCCCGGTTGCACGCCATTCTCCTGCCTCAGCCTCCCGAGTCCTGGGACTACAGGTGCCTGCCACCACGCCTGGCTACTTTTTTTGTATTTTAAGTAGACACAGGTTTTTTTGTTTTTGTTTTTTGTTTTTTGACACAGGGTTTCACTGTGTTCACCAGGATGGTCGCCACGTAGATTACAGGCGTGAGCCACTGGGCCCAGCCATGCTTTTAAAATATATATATAGATTTAGGCTGGGTGTGGTGCCTCACCCATAATCCCAGCACACTGGGAGACTGAGGCTGGCGGATCACTTAAGGCCAGGAGTTCAAGACCAGCCTGGCCAACATGGCGAAACCGTGACTGTACAAAAAATACAAAAAGTAGCCAGGCGTGGTTGTGTGTGCCTGTAATCCTTGCTACTCGGAGGCTGAGGCACGAGAATTGCTTGAACCTAGGAGGCGGAGGTTGCAGTGAGCCGAGATCCTGCCACTGTTCTCCAGCCTGGGTGACAGAGCAAGACCCTGTCTCAAAAAAAAAAAAAAAAAAAGCAAAAAAAAATTGTGGGCCGGGCGCGGTGGCTCAAGCCTGTAATCCCAGCACTTTGGGAGGCCGAGGTGGGCGGATCACAAGGTCAGGAGATCGAGACCACGGTGAAACCCCGTCTCTACTAAAAAAAATACAAAAAATTAGCCGGGCGCGGTGGCGGGCGCCTGTAGTCCCAGCTACTCAGGAGGCTGAGGCAGGAGAATGGCGTAAACCCAGGAGGCGGAGCTTGCAGTGAGCCGAGATCGCGCCACTGCACTCCAGCCTGGGCGACAGAGCGAGACTCCGTCTCAAAAAACAAACAAACAAACAAACAAAAAAAAATTGTGTGTGTGTGTGTATATGTATATGTATATGTATATATACACACACACATATATATAGATATGCTTACATTTTTTTTTTATAAGGACGTGGTCTCGCTATGTTGCCAAGGCTAGCCTTGAAAGCCTGTGTTCTAGGATCCTTCTGTCTCAGCCTTCCGAAGGCTTGGGATTACAGGTGTGAGCTACCATATATGGCCTCTAAGTCACTTTTCACTCAGATATTTTCATTCTTTCAAACAAAATAGTACAGGTATGACCTCTGCTCTAGTTTATTTTTTATTTACTTATTTATTTATATTTTGAGACAGACTCGCTCTGTTGCCCAGGCTGGAGCACAGTGGCACGATTTCGGCTCACTGCAACCTCTGTCTCCTGGGTTCAAGCAATTCTTATGCTTCAACCTCCCGAGTAGCTGGGACTACAGGCATGTGCCACCATGCCTGGCCAATTTTTGTATGTTTTGTAAAGATGGGGTTTCACCTCATTGCCCAAGCTAGTCTCCTGGGCTCAAGCAATCTATCTTCCTCAGCCTCCCAAAGTGCTGGGATTATGGACATGAGCCAACACACCCAAATTCAATTTTTATTTTATTATTTTTATTTTTTGAGATGGAGTTTCACTCTTGTCGCCCAGGCTGGAGTGCAATGGCGTGATCTTGGCTCACTGCAACTTCCACCTCCTGGGTTCAAGTGATACTCCTGCATCAGCCTCCCAAGTAGCTGGGACTATAGGCGTGTGCCACCACGCCCGGCTAATTTTTTTTTTTTTGAGAGGGTTTCTCTGTGTCGGTGGTCTCGAATCCTGACTCGTACGCACTCGCCTCCCTAGGCTGGATTAGGCTGAGCCGTGCTGCCAAATTTTTTAATGGTTTTTTGTTTAGCTAAATCATTTTGCCTGAGTTTGCAGGTTAGTGTTCCCTGTGTTTATTAGGATCTGTTTCAGTACTGCCTAGAGGTTGGCTACAGGGGGGATGGCGAGGTTCAGTTGCATCGTCCTCCTTGTCCAGCTGTAACTCTGTGTTT